GCTGCGGTGGCCGGGAGCAGCCACTGCACTCCAGTCTGGGTGACAGAGTGAGACTCCAACTCAAAAAAAAAAATAATTTTTATTTTCTGTTGCTTATTATGTAAAAATAGTCGATTTTGGTATTTTACCTTGTATTCAGAGACTTTGCTGAACTCACTGATTCTGCTGTTTTCTGTGGATTGTTTTGGATTTCCTACTTGTATCGTCATTCATGAATAATGATGGTTTCATTTATTCTTTCACCATTCTTGTAATTTTGAATTTATTTTTCCTACGTTGAGTTTGAACTTCCAGTACAGTGTTGAATGGAATTTCTGATAGTGATCATTATTGGCATGTTCTCAGTCTCAAAGAGAAAGCTTTTGACCTTTTACTACTAAATATGACATTTGTAATAGAGTTTTTGTAGACATTTTATGAGATTAAGCATGTTCCCTTCTTTTCTAGGAATTGTTATGTGATGTAATGTTGAATTTTATGAAATGCCTTTACTGCCTGTATTGAGGTATTCATGAGATTTTTCTTTTATTGATATGACACATCACACTGAGTGAATTTAAACATCATTATACTACTACAACAAATTAACTTTTTGTGTATTTTTAATTTTTATGTATTTTGTTTTGTTTTATTTATATATTTTATATTCTTAATATAGTGCTTGGTTCCATTCGTAGTATGTGTATTGTTTAGGATTTTTGTTACCTCTTGTGTTTATGAGTAAAATTAACTGTGTAACAATTTTTTTAAAATGTACCTATGTTTTGTTATCAAGGTTTTGCTGACCTAAGGATAAGTTGAGGAATAGTCCTTTCTTTCCCTGTAGAAGAATTTGTTTATTTCTTCTTGCATGCCAATGAATTCTAGACCTAGAGTTTTCTTTTTGGAAAGGTTTTATTGATTTTATTTATTTAATATTCAAATTTTTAATTTCTTCATGACAATGTTAGTTAAATTTTTGTAGAAATTTCTTTGTCTGAAATTTTAGATTTATTGACATAAAGTTGTCCATAGTAGCCTTTTATCCTTTTCATGTCTACAAAATTTGTAGTGATCTTTTTTATTTCCAGCTTTGATTATCTGTGACTTTTCTCTTTTTCTCTTCATCAATCTTACCAGGGTTTTAAAATTTTTATTAGTCCTTTCAAGGAACTACATTTGGCTTGATCCTCATTTTTCTAGTACTTTTTATTTTTTATTTCTTTTTTCTTTGAGAGGAGTTTGTTTTGTTGTTCTTGATCTGAAGTGTATTTTTACATCTTTAATTTTTAACCTTTTCTAAAGTATGCATTTAAGGCTATAACTTTAAGGTAGACAGAGATTGCACAGGTTTTCATATTATCATTTAGTTCAAAATATTTCCTAATTTTCATTGCAATTTCTTCTTTAACCATGGATTTCTTAGAGGTCTATCTCTTAATTTCTGAATATGTAGCAATTTTTAATTTTCTCTCTGTAATTGCAGTATCAGAAAACTTATTTTAAATGACTTTAATGGTCAGGTAAATTATTTCAACCTTTGTAAATTTGTTGTCTTGCTATATGTGCTTTAAAATAATGAGCACTTTGTAGTTGTTAGAGACTGCAGTTTTTATATTTTTATTAGATCGCTTTTCTTAACTTGTTCAGTTCTATATTTTTACTAATTGTGTGTACATAGTTGCTCTCTGAGTGCTGATTTTAGTTTTTTCTGTTTCTTTGACTATTTCTGTCAACATTTTACTTTAATTTCCTTCTTTTGAAGCCATTTCTTAGGTGCATACAAATTTGGAAATGTCATATCTTTATCATTTGAACTTTTATCATTGTGAAATATCTCTGTTTATCAGAGGTGACACTTCTTACCTTAAAGTTTACTTTGTCTACAATTAATATAGTTACACTAGCTAACTTTGGTTAGTATATTGGCATGATATGTCATTGCTTTTCCCATTTCTTGACTTTGAGCCTTTCTGAATTCTTATGTGATATATATATATATCCCTTATACACATCATATAGTTAGATTTTCTTTTTTTTAATATGGTCTGATAATCTTCAGGTTTAATGGGAGCATTTAATCCATGTACATCTAATGTAATTACCAGTATATTTAGGCTTAAAATCTATTTTATTATGTGCTTTTTATTTGTCCTACCGGATACATGTTTCTTTTTTCTTTTCTTCTTTACCTTTTTTTGTTCTTTCTTCTCTTTATCTTTTGACTTTTTATTATTCCATTTTTTCTTCTATTATTTCAAAAGTTTACACTCTTACTGTTCTCTTAGTAGCTATCCTAAAGATCACAGCATCAATCTGTGACCTATCAAAGTCTGTTAATTGGTACTTTTACCTTTTTCCCAGATAATGCAGGTATTTTAATATACTTTAGCTGTGATGTGACTTAGTTGCTCTTGTTGTTATGTATCTTAATTATCTGTATATTTTCAATTCAGCACATCATCATCATCATTATGTTTTGTATAGTCGATCTTTATTTAGACTTATATATGCATACTGTTTTCATTGCCTTTTGTTTTTTCCTGCACCTGCAACTTTTCTTCTTTTCTTCTATTGCCCTTTATTATTTCCTTCAGTGCAGGTCTGCTGGTGCAGATTCTCTTCTTAGTCTGTCTGAAATGTCTTTATTTCACCTTTATTCCTGAAGCTTATTTTTGCTATGTATAAAATTATAGTTTGACAGTATACTTTTTCCTTTCATCACCTTGAAAGTATTTCATCGTTTACCTTTCATTATATCTGTTGAACATTGAGTCTAATAATAGTCATTTTATCATATAATTTTTTTTTTCTGACTGCTTGTAAGTTTTTCTCTTGTGTTTGATTTATAGCAGTTGTACCTCTAGGTGTAGACTTCTCGTTTATCTTTTTAGGGGTTGTAAGCTTTCTTAATATCTATCTTTTTGTAAATGCTCTAACATTTCTCTTCAATATTTCTTTTACAGTATCTCTCTTCTCGGTATTCCATTTAAATGTATCGTGGATCTCTTTACTGTTTGCTCTCTATCTTTTACTTTGTATTAATTTTTCCATTCTTTTGTTTCTTCCTGCTTGGTTCTGGATTTCCCTTCAGACCTAACTTCCAGTCCACAACTTCACTTGTCTTCCTATCTACTTTAGCATGGTTATGTTAAGTCTGTCTGATAGTCATAATATCTGGAGTCATTGAGGGGTTCTGTTTTCTGTTGTCTGTACTAGTTTTCATTTACATAGTCTTATCTCCTTCTGTGCGTGGTTACCTTTGTGTGTCAGACAGAGTATTTGAAAAATGATTCATAAAATATTTTGAGACCTAGAATGATGCTACTTTCCTCCAGTGAGTATTTTCATTTTTTTCTGCCAAGTCCTGAAGCACAAGCAATCTGGGACTACTTTAAATCAGTTTTTTTGTTTGATTTTGTTTTGTTTTGTTTATTTTCTTGAGTTGGCATCTCACTCTGTCACACAGGCTGGACTGCAGTGGCACGCTCACTACCACCACAGCCTCGACCTGCTGGGCTCAGGCGATCCTTCCACCTCAGCCTTCCAAGTAGCCAGAACTACAGGCATGCGCTACCACGCCCAGCTAATTTTTTTATTTATTGTAGAGACAAGGTCTCGCCATGTTATTCAAGCTGGTCTCAAACCCATGGGTTCAGGCAATCTTCTTGCCTTGGCCTCCCAAAGTGCTAGAATTATAGGTTTGAGCCACCGCGCTTGACCTTTAATTCAGTTTTAAGGATTACAATTTCCTGGGCCATTCAGATGACTTGAAGCTAGACTACAGTAACTGCAAGGACTGTTGTAATTTCAGGTTACCCTTATGTCTAGGATGCAGACTTTGGGGATGCCAGAGTCAGTCATGAAGTTTTTACCAGGAAGCAACCCACACCCTTGAGTGGGGTCTAGACTTCAACTTGTATTCTCTACCCTAGGGGTTGGCAAACTTTTTCTGTAGAGGACCAGATAGTAAATAGTTTAAGTTATGTGGACCAATTTTTGTCTCAGCAATCAACTCTGCCATTGTTCACCAAAGCAGTCATAAACAATGAGTGAATTAATGAGTATGAATTATTCCAGTAAAGCTGTATTTACAAAACATGCAAGGCTAGATTTGGCACATGGACCATAGTTTGCCAGCCCCTGCAATAGCCTGTGAGAAGCTCTGCTCAGACTCTCAGCTGCCTTTTCTAAAATGCATGTTAGCACTGTGTGGTGGGCTAGCTTCTCCTTGGTCTACCTTGTTAGCTCTTCAGTGCCTTCAACCATATATTGAGGTTTTATGTTTGGTCTAGTTGTTCTTAGCCGAAGATTTAATCTGAAAAACGTAGTCTGCCATTAGAGGAAGCTAAAAGTCATACATAAAGTAACCAAAGTAAAAAATGGTGAGATTTCCACCCCCCCCCCGTGATCTCAAGAATAGAAGTTTCTTGAGAAAATATATCTCACTCTGTAATACATAAATGACTACTTTTTTTTCTTTTTAACAAACTGAGCTTTAGGGCATATTTTATGGTCTTCCTAGACAGAGTGTGCATTCTAGGGTTAAAGTTATAAAGCACTGTTGTCCATCAGAACTTTCTGTGATGATGGAAATGTTTTACATCTGTACTGTTCACTAACCACCAGCTACCTGTGGCTATTGAGTACTTAAAATGTGTCTAGTATAGTTGTAGAACTAAAGTTTTACTTTAATTTTAATTAACTTAAATATCTACGTGTGGCTATTTGCTTTGGAGTGGATGCAGCTTAGATTAAAAGAAGAATCTTTTCTCAGTACACAGTGGGTTCTTAACACTGTAACCCACCAAAGCGTCCATTTCCCAGCTGTCTTGTAAGAATTAATTAATTTTAAATTAAATGTGTTAGATGATTGGTATCTTACTAAAAAGCCTCACATATGTTTTCATTTATCTTACCATTCACCTGGTAAGACAGAAGTACACTTGTTATCCTGAAGGGACAGTGTAAAACTGATGCAGTTGCTCAACTTACTTTCTAACATGAATTTTTCTCTGCAGGGAAAGGGGCGTATTCGTCGAGGAAACTATCCAAATCCGTCCTCTCCTGTTGCAGTTCGGTTGCCTTCCATGTCTGATGTTGCAGAAGAGACCTTGACTAGCGAGGCAGCCATGGAGACCGACATTACAGAACAGCAGCAAGCAGCCATGCAGCAGGAGGAGCGAGTCCTGACTGAGCAGATTGAGAGCCTGCAGAAGGAGAAGTGAGTATCCAGGAGGAGGGGCAGACTAGTTCTTATCTGTATCGTTTCTTCCCTTCAATTCTTTTTTTCCTTATATATTAAATATATCCTGTGTGTCAGACACTGTGTCAAGTAGTATGGGGATATGGGAATGACAAAGACATGTTGCCTGTACTCAGGTAACAGTATGAAAGTTGTCCCCTCAGGGAAGGAAGTTCCGTGAGCTGGGAGAGAAGATGCTGCTCCATCTGGGTTGGAGAGGCTGACTGGGAGGAGGACACAGTATCCACAGGGCATGTCAGTCTTAGGATTCATCTGGCAGTAATAGTGGAGAGCCAAGATGAGGTACTGGAGCCCTAACAGGTCAGAAACTAGCCTCCATGAACAGATTTGTTTCACAAAATCAGTAAATCCTAGGCTAAGAAAGTCCTTTTCAAGAATAGACATTATTCACAAGTCTATGAAGGAAAGTCATCTAAAAGTCTTTATGGCTATGGGAACAGCAGCTGGATGGTCAGGATAAGGCAGCAACCCTAGTGGTGCTAGAATACTGGGTAGGGAAACTGATTGCCATTTAGGAAAGAGACATTGGGACAAATAAGCTGTTCTTTCTCTATCATCACTAGGGCAGGGCTTGGGTAACACTACACCATGGGATAACATGAACACCCCATGGTTCTCCCTGAGGGACTATGTACTAGTTCCGATTGATGTTGATGTTGCTTGAGAAGTCTGAAGGGGAAGTCTTTGTTCTTGAGTTCCAAGATCCTAGGTCTGAGAACTTGATTCATGAGGGGATTTGAAACTGTTAAAATACTTTTTGTCCATCTGAATTGATTCTAGAATTTAGGCAAACTGGAAAAGCAGCTGGAGTGCAGCTGTGGAAGACATGATACGGTAAAGGGGGTGTGCACTGATCAAGGGCTATGCTGTAGGTGATCAACTTTGATGAAGATGGCACTGGAGGTATAGAAGGATGAATAAGAATTGGCTAGAGCCTGGGCGCAGTGGCTCACACCTATAATCCCAGCACTTTGGGAGGCCGAGGTGAGAGGATTGCCTGAGCCCACAGGTTGCAGACCAGCCTGGGCAACTTGGTGAGACCTCATCTCTACAGTAAATCAAAAAATTAGCCAGGCGTGGTGGCACATGCCTGTGTAGTTCCAGCTACTTGGAAGGCTGAGGCAGAAGGATCACCTGAGACCAGCAGATCAAGGCTGCGGTGGCCGTGAACATGCCACAGCACTCCAGCCTGGGTGACAAAGTGAGACTCAAAAAACTCAACAAAAACAACAAAAAGAATTGGCTAGGAAGGGGAAAGGGGAAAGTCTTTCCAGAAAAAGGCAGAAGTACAAGGAAAACCTCAGGGTGTAAATGTGCGCAGCTTAGGACATTTGTTTTTTTTTTTGTTTTGTTTTGTTTTTTAGTAGTTTTTATTATGGTTTTGTGGGGTACAGTTAAGGGTAGGTGTACAATGACGTTTCATTCAGGCACCCTGTAGATAAGAAGTGTTTTCCCATCCCCCGACAGATATTTGCTACTGTTAATCCCATCCCCCTCCCCCCCATAGTTTCCCAGTACC